TGGTCTTTGCGGGTGACATAAAGAGAGCCTTTCTGCAAATACGGATCCATAAAAGCGAGAGAGATGCACTTCGGTTCCCCTGGCGACCGAGCCCATTGTCAGAGATAGAAACCTACCGATTCACGCGAGTATTGTTTGGACTTGCCCCCTCGCCGTTCTTGTTGGGAGGCGTTCTTGAATGCCATTTAGACGCATGGGCCAAGAAATACCCGGAAGAAAGCGAACGTCTCCGTCGAAGCTTCTACGTGGACGATCTTCTGTCAGGCGGACAGAATGTGCCACAGGGTAGGTTGCGTAAGGAAGTAGCGAAGGAGATAATGAGTGATGCCTCGTTTGTACTTCACAAGTGGCATTCCAACGAGCCTCAGTTGGAAGACAGACCGCAAAGCACACCTCACGAAGAGCAGTCCTACGCCAAACAACAGCTACAAGCCCAGTCAAGCAAGTCAAAACTTTTAGGGGTTAAGTGGAACAAGGAGGACGACACGATTGCAGTACAAATCCCGGAGACAAGTGACAAGCCGACTAAACGAGGAGTATTAGCAAAACTGGCCAAGGTTTACGACCCCCTCGGACTTGCCTCACCGACCACACTGCAAGGAAAGCAAATCTTTCGCGAGATTTGTGATTCTAAAGCTTTGTGGGATTCAAACATCCCAGATGTTCTCCGCATGCAGTTCCAAAGGTGGGAAGAGTCTCTGCCAGCGGAGGTGACTACATCAAGGCCCATGGCACCCTATCACGAGGCGATTGATGGTCTTGAGCTCCATGCGCCCCCTCAGCTATGTTGAAGACAACTTGGAATTACCTACCCTGACACCAGCCTCCTTTCTATCTCAGCGTTCCTCCCAACTTCCTGAAGGACCAGCCTGGCAGATCCACGACAAGGATTTGCGTAGAAGAGCCAAATTTCTGAAATCCTGCAAGGATCAGCACTGGAACAGGTGGCAACGCGAGTACTTAACTGCCTTGAGAGAGCGCCACAACTTGGTCCACAAGACAGCCAAGTACCAGGTAAGAGTTAGGGAGGCCGTAATTGTACGATCTGACAGCAAAAATCGAGGCAAGTGGCCTCTAGCCATGTTCGAGGCAACTTACCCAGGCCCGGACGGCCACACGAGGGATTTTCAGCCGAGAAGGAGTAACGGAGTTATTCAGCGACCAGTCTAACACTTATATCATTTGGAGTTGCAGAGTGAGCCCAGGGTCACCCAGCCAGCAGTCTTGGAACAGCAGTTGAACCCACGGGCCGCCACGTTCCGACCGAGGAGAGCAGCAGCGAGCACAGCCGCAGCAAGAACTAGGCAGATTGCCGAGGGAGAAGAGAGCGAGTAATGGTTAATAAGTGACTGATTTGGAACAATTTCTGAAGACTTCTTAGTTTCGGAAATGCTCGTCGAGGCACAGTCTCCGTTATTGCGTGCACCTTCATATTCAAAGCTGCACGGGGAGTGTGTCGGAGACTTCGTAATTTGAGTAGAACAGATGTTTAGTTTCTTAATTAACACCAGTGATTGAGGTAACCTTGAACGAACTTTGATTGACTATCACTTAGCAACGACCAATGAGAGATCCGATTAGACGTTCTACTACGTGATATCCCCATATATAACACTAGGGCCCCACCTTTTCGAGAGTTTTTTGACACATCCGTTGTAAGACGAAGGAGAGAGTTTTGGATTAAACGCTTTGTTTTAACACACGTCGAGTCTACTGTACGAGAATATTAATAGGTCAAAAAAAAACCCTCGTAAAAGGGGCAAAGTTTACGAAACGCTCTGTGTCTTAAGCCGTTTGTTCTGCTTTCGCTGATATTAAAGCCAAGTTTTTTTACAATCAGAGCACACAATTACAAGTTTTCATCTCTTTTGTATAAAAGTGAGCTCTTTGAGGTCAGAAATCTCAATCCTCAACTCGGCTATTTTATCATTCTTACTTACAATGTTCACCGAGTACTTTTCCTTGTGTGAGGTATTCTGCCAGAGAGTTGTTAAAGGTGGATATTGATCAGCTCATATGTAAAGGTCACAAAATCCGTGGAGGTTCGTATACTTCGCTTTCCGGTGTCGAGATCGCCCTGAGGACAGTTTTTCTTGTCCCTTCTCTTCTTGAACGGTAGGCACTGAACCCGACAGAATTCCTTGTCTTGATCCTTCAAAGTACACAGACCTCTCGAAACAGTCGTCCGAGAAGTGTTCGGAGTAGATCACAAATATTTCTGTAGGATTGAAGTTTACTCGGCGAGGTCGCACAAATCGCATCCGTTTTTCCCGCTCTGATCTATTTACAAGGCTCCGATGCAGAGAAATACCTGCAGCATGGTCTGCACGGTTACTTCAGCTTTGAATTGCGCATCGATGCCCGGTCATTTTCGTTTATGTTGGGATTCCAGTCTAATAAACTATCACAAGGTAGTTGGAATCTTAACGTTGAATAGAACGAATAACTTACGGTACAAGCTAATCCCAACACGAGGTAAGACTGACTTCATTGGCTAACTCGAATCACTTCACAACAAGCGATTGCGTGACAATAACGTTACAGTTTAGTTTTTGTACGAATAGAGTAAAGTACTCTATTATGTTTGCTTGACATTTTGCCATGTGAGATTTTCGCGTTCAGCCTTTGACGTCACTTCCTCTGAGTCCTGCGATCAACTTCCGGAACATGATCAAATAATGGCGGACGCGAAATCGTGAATCTAACGGCTCGAAAAAAGATATTTCTGGTGATCGGTCTAAACTGAAATTTGGCGGTGTAGGTGAGGGAGAAACACTGAACACGAAAATGGAATAAAATAATGTACGAAAATTTTGATCTCAGTGGCACTCTAAGGAATCAGCGTTGAATTAAGGCGAGAATTGTACCAAAACTGAGACCGGGACCTTTGATGCCCACCCAATTAGAAAAATTCTCCACATTAATCATAGTTTATTCTTTTTTTGGAGTGAAATTCCTAGCGCTTATTCAAGCCAAAAGGTGCCAGAGAGAACAACTGTGCGCTCCAATATGCTTCTTCGGTAATTAAAAGTTTCTCGATGTTACCTAAATTGTTTACGGTCGCCTGCACTTGATCATTGCATTGGAATGAGAAATCGCTTAAATCATGTGGTGCTTTATTAAAATGTACCGCTATTCCACTT